GGCTGATTAACAAACATCTTTTTCAGTTATTACTGTGAAATTATTTGTTTTTTTTGTTTTTTGTTTTTTTTTTTTTCCTCCTTGGAAATTGGAGAGATAAAGGATCCATCCTGGAATAAAATAATTTTGTACACATGTGCTATACGGTTTTGTTGATGAAACTGAAGTATGTGAGTGTATGTGAGACAGATGGTGTGTCTGTTTGGGAAAGATACGATGCATGGATGAACATGTGTGAAAAGAGAGCTTTTTAAAAAAAAAATTTGTATAAGAAAAAGCATAGAAATGCCTGCTTTGTACATTATTTGTGAGATGATAGCTACTCCCCATGCTCTTTGTCAATATGACAGAAGAGTATTCCTGCAGAAAGTGAAATTTAAGGGTGCTGCTTCTAGGGTTTGCAGCTGGGCATTGTGAATTCTCTTCAAGTTTTCAAAGTCCTGGGAAGTTTTGATAAGCAAATACTTTCTGGGCTCTGCTTCTCTATTGGCTGTTTCTTCACCGCCAGATTTTGACACAAATAATCTGATTGAAAAATCAGGGAGGGGAACGGGGGCAAAAAACAGAGAGAAAAAAGGAGAAGTATCTATTTCAGCAGGCTGCAACTAAGTGAAAAAGTGGAAGAAGGAGCCCGGAGAGAGGACTACGTCTCGCTGGGGGCTTGTCTGGGGAGATATCAAGGCAAATCCAGTAAAGCAGAGTACCCTAAACAGGTGATTTATTTATCCTTTTTAACACTTGAAATGTCATTGTCTGGCTTGTTTCTCTGATACGTTTCACACCCTTTGTCTCATCCTTTGCTTCTGTTTGCAAATATGGAACGTAGTTCCCCGCTAAGTCAGTTGTGTTGAGCACTCCTTTGTGATAATGCTTTGCTTATATCAAACAGGTCAAACGTTAAAAAAGTGACACACTGTACACTTATTTTGCACTCTCACACGCACGTGTGAAAATGATAATAGCAGAATAAAATACAGAAGACGTATCATGGTTTCAGATACCTGCATCCCAGCAAGTTCTGCGCAGCAGGAGCAGTTTCCAGATGCAGACTTCAGTACTTAAGCATTGAGGATATACTGTATTTTTCCTTTTAGTCGCTCTTGTGCAGACTTTCAGATTCAGATAAAAGTACATCTCTGCTGATTTAAACGATTAATTGCGTCAGTTTTGATGCTGATTTTTCTAGGTGAGAACTCAGTCTCTCCTGTTGAGGATTTTTGCTTCCAACCTATAATTTCTATCACCTCTCCATCCTTTCTAAGCACATGCTAATTAGTGTAACAATTTTCAGCATACGGAATTTGGTATTTATAAATATCTAATATTTACCTGGCTGATTCAATGCATTAAGCAGGAAAACAGATTATTTACAAGTCCACAAACTAAATGCATCTACAGAGGGACATAGGATGTGTTAGATTGTACTGTGTAAGTCTATAAATGGAAGCTTAAGGCAGTTTGCTAAAACCTTTGGCATTCCCAACATCACTAGGAGCAAAGGAGCTTTCTGAAGGACAAATGCTGCAATTACATTATTAGCATTTTGTCTAGATAATAAAGATCTCCATGGATTTCCCATCTACTTCTTTGACAAAGTGTTCTCTGTAATTTTCAGGCAATGGCTTAATGCCCATCTGCCCATTCTTACTGCAGGAATGGAAAGTGTTCTGTGCATTTTTCCCCATTCAAAAAGCCACATTCAAATTATTTGCCCCAAGTACAATGAATTTTACAAGCCTGGCTTGATCTCAGTGTAAAGAACTGGAATTCTGAAGTATTTTATATTTTAAGAGTCAGAAGTCCACAAAACTTCTTATTTTACTTGGGCTCTTAAAAATGTCACAGACAGGTTATGTTTTGTGCTTTTTTTCTTCAAAAATACAGTCTTCCAATAGATACACTGTTCTTCATAGATTAAGTTTGCCAGGAAAAAGAAAAAAAACACAAACCAATATTAAGGTTTAAAATAAATTAAACAGGAGGAAGGAAACAAGCCTCTTTCAGGCTAAAACTTTATATATTCATCAATTTACATAAAGCCACGCATCAACTTTAAGTTAAAAATTAAGTATTTCTTCTGAGTGCCGTGGGAGAAAGGGCTTCATTGCTACAGTTTACATTGTAAATTTGAAAATGGGAAACCTGAATTTAGAAAGACTTCGAGGAAAATGAGTCAGCTTCAGGCTGGAACTTACATTGCACGTTGGGTTCCTGATTCAGGATGGCACAATTCTGCAAACTCTTGCCCCCAAAATATGGTAATTTGGGGTTAATTGTGTCCCTGAAGGAACTGCTGACAGAACAGACCCATAACCTCATATAGGGAAGAGAGAATAGCAATTTCTTCTAAGATATACCAAAGGAGCCAATCCTGTGGTTTTGGGGACTGTGAGTTGCTGTGCGCTGAGGTGGGAATTGGGGCTTCAAGAGGAACGTGAGCCCTTACAATTTAGGATTAGGATACAAATTAGGATCCTGGACCCAACCCATCAATGTACACCTCGGAAAGATGCTCCTGCCCAGGCAATGAACTCTGCCATGCAGTTATCAGAAGGGACAGAAACCATTGCCACTGGGGCTGGCAAGAACAGGCTCCATAAGAGACAAGTCCAGCTTTTAGCAAAATGTCAAAGCTAAATTCTGTTGGAAGCTTCAGCGATGGTTCAAGCCATAGCAGGCCCTGCTGTCCACAGCACTGCATTCCCTGTGAGGTGCAGTTAGCTGTCTGTAGCAGCTCAACACTTGCTGCTGATAATCTTGAATTTCAGAGAGAGAGAGAGTGAGTATTTTTTCTCTAACAATCTGTGCTCCCAGCTTTCCTCTAAGTTGGGTGTGTGAATCACAAAGACAGTCCGATGCAGTCGTTAATTAACTATGCTCAGGCTTCCAGTTCCCGTTTTCTCTGCAAAATGGGGGTGGGGGAAGGTAACTTCCTTTTGCAACGTTCAGTAGTGCATTAAAGATTGTGTTGCTCAGTACAGGCCCTTATCAGCAGCCAAGATACTGGCCCAAATTTGACTTTTTGCATTTGCTGGGGCAAATACATCCAGAAAAACCCTGGTGATTCTTAGGCAGCTACTCTCAACAGCCACCTGAAAAGATGGGCTGGAATCAGTACCTTCATATACTTAGTGCATGGATACTACAGTAAAAACACAGCAAGGCTGTTTTTGCCACCCACCTGCAGTCCTCCAATTTATCTGGGAGTGCCTCCGGATGTTCCAGCTGATGGGCAGGGAGAGCAGCTCTTCCAGGAGCACTGAGCACACGCTTTCACCTTGCCCTTCACCTGCTGCCAGAGCCTCTTCCTCCACTGTGTGGGAAGCCCAGGAAAATTAACTGGTTCATTTAGGCAGACAACGCATACCAACAAGCTTTAGACATCTGAATACTCTCTATTGTAGATGGTATAGTCCTGCCCACTATGGGAAAATCCCTTTGACATGAGTGGAAATCCCATGTAGAAAGGGCTTGTGGCAGGAGTTTAATTTGGGGCACGTCTGTGTTGTCAAGTGCAGCTCCAAGCACATATATCCCACCCGGGGCTGAGCAAGGGTACTGAGACTCTCCCAGACACATTTCCATAGGGTGTGAGGCACACAGCCAGGCAGAGCACACTGCTGCAATGCTCGTGGCCATCCCAGAGCACTTCTGTGCTACTGAGCTGAGTGCTTCTGCATGCAGGTCAGGCCAATACATTTCATGATACTTCAAAGAACCCCACTGGAGAGTTACAGAAATGTAAAGACAGCAGTGTATTTCAGCATGCCTTCTCCTGTGTGAATACTTATGGCTCCTTCTCAGTACTATTTTGTTCTCTTACTAAAATTAAATTAACACATCCACTCTTGGCTTGTTTTCTCATATTCATCTCAAGTCACATGTACATTTCTCGGAAGAAGATAAAAACAGGTGAGTCATTTCAGAAGAAAAAAATGGCTAAAGTCATACATGAAAATGGGAATCCTGGGCCAGAATTAAAAAGACAGCTGGAGCTATAATGGGATTTCTAATGGCACTGGGGCTGGTGAGCACCTGACTCCCACAGACAGCAGTGGGCTTTGCAGCCTAGCTGGCCACAGCAGACTTTGCTGCATGAGTGCCCTTGTATGTGTAAATGTAGCCAAAGCTGCCATCGTAGATCTGGTGTAAATCTGTCCCTTGGACCTTTAAATGAAACACCACTGGGCTATGTGCTTACATTTAGCATTTGGGGGTAAGCACATACACTTCTGAACCCTAGAGAGCAGCCAGAGAAGAGCTTTTCCATCCCTGGCTGTTTCCAGGAGCTCACACAGCTCTGTCCTAACTTATGCAGACACTTCACATCATTCCTACTCAACAGGAACAAACTGTGTTCTTTTTCAGTAAATAAGTACTCTACGCTTCAACTGCTCCTGAGAAAAAGAACCCAAGCAATAACATAATGCAGTTGCCCATCGGTTGAGAGCTGGGACTTACTGCTGACTTTCCATATGAAATATAGCAAGATTTGCTTTTAGTGCTGCTATCTTGAACAATTGCTAGGGAAAATGCAAATACGTATGCAAATAATGCACCAGCTGATATTGCCATACGCAGGATTGAGCCTGTTGTCACACTCTCCATGAGAACAGTTGTTGGCTATGGGGAGCGGGCACAGGGCGGGCTGGGCTCTGGGTAGCACAGATAACAGATGCATTGCAAGAGAATTTTGTATGATTAAATTTCAGCATTTTATGTTTGTTCCTAACCCGTCATTTCAACGGTCTGTGATATCGGAGTCGGGTCCAAAAAGGTAACCTCTCTTTGCTCAGCCTCTTCTTGACTTTGTCAGCCAGAACAAAGAATGATGTCAAGGAGATTCTGAGTTCTGGTGTATCCCTGCCACACGAACACTTTTGGTCTGTAACAGCTTACACACAGCTGTGTGTTTTCACTCCAGAGTTAAGGCCCATTGAGCACCTAAAGCCAAGCAACCACCCCCATCCCTTCAGCTGGGTGGGGGGTCCTTTGAGGTGGGCTCTCTCTTATCCCAGCAGAAGGGTTTTAATTCTCACCTCTGCTGGATGCAGAGCTGATGTGCTGTGGGAGCAAGGAGAAATAACCCCACAAACTGCAGGGATTTACATGCTGCTATTCCATGCTTCTGCCCAGGCGGTGAATGGAAAATGCCACGTTCCTTTTTGGTGAAGAGCAAAAAGGCTCATACCTATCATCAGCACCGCTTCGTGGAAGATGATCTGCCTAAATTCACATGGGATCCAATCACCTCTGCTTTCACTGGTGAGTCAATACGTCCACTGGGCATGTAAGAATACACTGAGGCAAATAAATAATTCAGTAAGCAAGCTAGGGGAGCTGGATGAATGAGCTAAAGAATTACTAAGGGCTCCCATGCAGGGATGGCTGTCTGAGGACAAACTGGTCCCTCTGTGTGCACCCTCTTTCTGTTGGCTAAATCCACATTGTCATGCTGGAAATGAATTTAGATCCTTCCTTTGTTTCCTGTTGGGCTGCTGCTATTATAATTCCAGCAGAGCGAGAATCCCTTACACTGGCAAGCTTTGGGCAGATGCAAGCACTGGAAGCCCTGAGTAAGCACAGAGTTTTTGATGGCCAGTACTCTACCTGTGTGGGAATTAGACAGAATTCTGCCTTTTATTTTTTGCTCTTGCTCCAGTTGTTAACTCCCATCTCCATTCAACGTTATCTTCTCTACCTCAGTGTTACCACCTTCTTCTGACCATTTGCAAGGAAGGTTACAATTAGAATGAGAAAATACTGATATCCAAACACTGACTGAAAGGAATCTTGTGCACTGCAGAGGAAAGACCAGCTACTGTATGCTAGATAAACACAACCTAATGCTGCTTCTGCCTATGCCTGCTGCCATCCCTGCTCCTGGTCATGCTCTCCCACAGCCATCTGTGCAATAACAGGGCTGGGACAATTATCTCCTTCCTTCAGGCACCATTCAAATTTTCATTATTCAAATCTAGGATCAACTTACCCTTTGTTCTAGCCCTGGCTGTGGAACTAGAGTCCAGCCCTATGATATGCTTGATAGAAGAATGGAGGCAACTTTCCAGTGTCAGTTCCTCACATCATCCCTTGGCCATTTGCAGTGCACAAGATGGTTTGGATGACACGTGGATGCTCTCCTTCAGCAGCCCAGTGCTGTCTGCAGTAGAAATGAGGCACATGTATTAGACTTCTGGTTTAGATTTGTATATAAATTATACATCTTACAAGCACTGCTTGGTCTATTAAAGGGCAGGGACAGGCATGGAGAAATGAGAGTGGGCAGGAGGACACAAGGCTCTGTGGCAACCTTTGCAGCTATACAAGCAGTTACCTCCCCTCTCAGCTTCCTTACTTGGCTGTCTACTGAACTCTCTGATGGGAGAGATGGGGAAGTTAATAAGTTAGTGATTGTTAGTTACCCTCATAAATGAAAATGGTTTTAAAGAAGGAAATTATTCTTACAGAAACGTGGCCGCCTAGGGTTAATTTGCTGTAGCTATATGTTGCATCAAGTGCCATATCATATCCTGCCCCTCTCTAACTTGCATATCTCATTCTGCTTAGAATTTCCCTTCGCCAGCAATGGACAGAGCTTGATTGCCATGCTGATTGGGCCACTCTTCAACAACTCAGGGAACTGAGTGGGTGATTTATGTGTCCAAGTATGAGTTCACATGCTTAGTGCACTGACTGTTCTCTTACTGGCTAGAATAAACTGTGACACTACTGTGATTGCAGCTGCAGGAGACAAAGACAAGACACCAGAAGATGGCAAGAAACAAGACCTGGAATGGGTGGTTCCAAAAGAAGAAAAGGATTCTTTTCAACCAAAGGAAGAAAGTGTCCCTGTCCCGTACCTGAGCAGGATGCTGCCAGGACCTTCAGCTCAAGGTCTGCTAACCAAAGCCAGAATTGCAGAAGAGGTCAGGGCTTTGTAAGCTTAGGGGGCCCCTATGACTGGGTCCAGATTTTCAGTAAATGGCAGCTCTTATTTTGACACCAATTGTCAAACTTGCCCCAGGCAGATCTCATTAAGACCTTTCTGTATTTCTCTTCATGATTCTGGTTTAGATCAGCATCTCCCTGAAGCATGGTTCCAGGGTTATGATTCCCAGCAAGCAAGCCTCCAAATCTCAGCAACTAATGTTAACTGTGTGATATGGGTGTCCCCATGATACTCGTTCAAAAAAATAATCCCTTAGCACCCCCTCTCCATTCACATTTCCTCAGATTGAAATCAAAGTCCTAAATCAAACATCACATGGGCACCAGGACTTGACTTAGCTTGGGGGTAACTTGGCATTGGTATGACATTCACTTTCTCCCTCTCCTTTACAAACTTAGACATGACCATCTCAGGTCTGCAAGTCAAAGACTGCACTAGCCCAACGAGCACGCCTACCTTCTACAAAACAGGCTTTTCTTGGGATGCTTTCCAACTGCCATACAGCTACAGACAGATGTCTTCCACCATGCAGTCAGCCCTCCTGGAGCACCCAGTCAGCCTGTATGGAAGCCATCTCCTGCCAAGTGCTGAGCCCCCTCTGGATTACAGCATGCGGTACTCCTCGGACATGGAGACCTACCACTGTGTGAAGTGCAACAAGGTGTGTGGCTGAGAACCTCAGCCATGAGTTGGGGCTGGAGAGGGCTAAGAATGGTACAGTTTACACAGCCTGTGAGAGGGAAGAATCAAATAAAGAGTAGGAACTGTAAAGAGAGGTGAAAACAAAGCTGCCTCTTGGAAAAAAAAATAAAAATCAATGGCATTTTGTTTTTCAGGTGTTCTCCACTCCTCATGGCCTGGAGGTCCACGTACGAAGGTCTCACAGTGGAACCCGGCCCTTTGCTTGTGAAGTATGTGGCAAAACCTTTGGACATGCTGTAAGCCTGGAGCAGCACACCAACATTCACTCCCAGGTGTGTAGCATGCTTCCCGATGCCCTCCAGAGCACAGTGGTGCTTGGACCTTTGTGATGAGGGTGGTGATGCTTCCTAGCTTACACATGCGATGGCTTTCCTGCAGCACCCAGCTCTGAAGACCACAGATCACAGTTCTCACCTTCCCACTCTCAGACTGTCCTTGGGAAAGTCCTGCATGGGGAGGATTGTTGCTACTAGTTCTCCTGTGCCTCACCTTCTCTTAAAGGGTGCAGGACAAGATGCCAGCTATTTCCCCAAATCCTCCTTTCATCCTCCTTATATTAGCACGTCAGCCATGAGCTGAGGAGATTTGCTCATCATATCTACCATACTCTTCAAGCTGTCACATGTTCTGCAACCACTGATTGACACCTCATGATTTTCTTTCCCTACCAGGAAAGAAGTTTTGAGTGCAAGATGTGTGGGAAGACATTCAAGCGTTCCTCCACCCTCTCCACACATCTGCTGATCCATTCCGATACACGGCCCTATCCCTGCCAATACTGCGGCAAGCGCTTCCACCAGAAGTCGGATATGAAGAAACACACTTACATCCACACTGGTGAGAAACAAAATATTCCCATGGAATAAATACAAACTAGAGTCTCTCATGTCTACACGCACACACACACTCAGTCCAGCTTCTCTGTGACTGGAAACTAAGTCATTCTTTTCTACGTGGTAAGATAGCAAAAAGTCTGAGCATCCCTGAGATGCACCGCCTCCTTTGTTTAATGAGGAGCCAGTCATTGTTCAGCCTCTGGTCCACAGCATGCTCACCCCCAGCCCTGGATGCAGACAGGGTCTGGGACCAAGATGGGGAGGGCTGCCTCTGGTTTTTCTCCCCCTCTGCTCCTGAAGGAGACCACACTGGTAGGCATATTTTTCCCCCCCTTTTTGCAATCTTTCTTACCATCTTCCTTGCCCTGCAGGAGAGAAGCCCCACAAATGCCAGGTATGCGGCAAAGCCTTCAGTCAGAGCTCCAACCTCATCACCCACAGCCGCAAGCACACCGGATTCAAGCCCTTCAGCTGTGAGCTCTGTGCCAAGGGCTTCCAACGTAAGGTGGACCTACGGAGGCACCGCGAGACCCAACACAGTCTCAAGTGAGGGGTGGCTCCAGGTCTTTGCTGGAGGTCCCACTGCCAGTGCATGCTTCGTGGAAGAAGACTCTCCCCAGCATTTCCATGCAGCACGGGGGCTCTCATTTCATTCAGCTCATACAGCTTCCTGCACTTTCCTGGGAAGTGACAATGTCATGTCATTGGCTTTGGTGTTCTTGCAACCCCAGAGCCTTACACACCCCAGTACGTGACAGAGAAACCTGTGGGAGCTCTCACTTCTTGGATACAGCAGTATCAAGCCAGATCTGATATCACCTGCTCAAGTGTAAATGCAGGGGAATTCCTCCAGGGTCACAATTACTCTGGATTTACACCACGTGCAGAATTCAGTCCATCAGAGCGACCTGACCAGCAGTGAGGTGGGAACACCTGGACTAGTGGCAGCCACAATCTGTGCCAAGCTGCTGCTGTAACCATGTTCTGCTTTGATGGTTAGGAAGATAAGGATAGGGCATGCAAATAGACTGTGCTCAGTGAGTTGTTTTTAACCTGGACAGGGCTTCTGCAGAGACTTGCCCAGGTCATAAATTCCAGCAACAGACACCTAAAGTCATTTTCTTTCAGTGGAGCATTTACTGTGATCAAGTGACAAATTAACTGTGTCCTATTTTTAGCTTGGAGTAGGAGGAAAATATTGGGAAAAAAATAGCTTCTATCCCTAACTAATAGCAAGGGTCTCTGCATGCATTCCACATCCACATCCTACAGCAAAGATCCCTAAGGAAGTGACAATCAGATGAACTCCAGGGAAAGCCACGCCACAGCACTGGGGATAAGCCCTGTATCTCAGTATCCTGTGAGAAAGAATGGGAGAGAGACTGGCTCTCAGAATCCAGGCTGGGACGTTCCCCATTGTTGTACTGTGTGCTGGATTTATTGGCTTAAATCTGTCCTGGACAGCCCTGTGTCACTGCATGGTCAGGAATGACCATGGATATAGATGTGAAGGGCCAAAGAAATAGGATTTCCTTTCACTCTTACAGGAGGAAGTGGCCTAACCCATATACACTGGCATGATATGAGTACTTCACAAATATTACACAAACATAGCAGTGGTATTTCCTCCTTCTTCCAGGTCTAGAGGTTGAAGCAAAGCACTAGAAGTAGTAAATAGCTGACTCTCATCTAAGCTCTGCTGTGTTCTCAGTGCATAACCTTTGGCAAGTCACTGCACTGCTCTGACTTCTATTTTTCCACACCTCTTGGTGATGAGGAGTCATTCGCTCAGGTTTGTAAAGTCCCTTGAGCTTTTGAGAGGAAGGACAAAGTATTATTACAGCATTAAAAAGACAAGTGCTTGCAGTTAAGTGGGGCATTGCAGCAGGGCACAGACCACTCTGTGACTCCATCCCTGAACACACAGCATCGTATGATGACTCCTATGGGAAGCAGCCTGCAGAAGGGGCTGTGGCATTCACCATCTCACTCCAAATGCTTATTAAGGAAGGCTGCCCCCATGGGCAAAGAAGCAGCAGTCCAAGTGGGAAATTCATTTACTGCCCAGAGAAAAGAGTTCTGATCCTGTCCTCAGTTACACTGCTGTAAATCCAAAGCCATTCTCCCTACTAAGATTTAAAACATACTTGCCCCTGTTCTTTGCTGAAGCTGTTACTCATTAATACACAGCCTGGCAACTCGAAACAGAGTCTGTACTCCTGGCTTGTCCTTGCACACTGTAAATATGTATTTATACTTATTCTAATGTATATTTTTATTGCAATACACCAGACAGTGACAACATGTACGGGCCTGCAGGGATTTAACTGATAAACCTGTTAGCTCTCAGTAGCTCTGCCAACACAGGGTGCTTTGTGTTAAAAACATTCATCTCAAGAAAGTCTTGTGCTCAGCTCTGGAGGTGCCAACAGTGGGGGCAGAAGGGGAAAGGAGTGGGGTGAGAGCACAGCATTGCTCCCCTGTTAAAGCTGAGCTGTTCTGTATTTTACCATGCCAGAACCTGGTCAGGGTATGGGCACGCAGGGAGGAAGCAATGCCCAGGCCCTATCTGTGACACCAGACACACATGCACGAACTTCAGATAAGGTAAAACCATTTTAGCTTATTAAAACTGCTGCCAAAAAACGCAAATTGTGTTTATTATTTCCC